TATGTGGTGTTAACACCCACCTTCAGCCTCATAATTTATGGTGTTAAGACCAAGAATATTCAGGAGAAGTTTTTCTCTTTTCTTTGAGCAAGAATTTTTGATAATGTAGACTGAACAATTCAGTCTTCACTTTTTTGTGTGTATAGCTCCACTAATTGAAGGGTGTCTACAATTATATTAAGCATCTTAAATCATGCCAGCATTAGGAGAGAATAACAACAGTAAAATTTTAATTAAATGAGCCCTGGTTGATGTGGCTCAGGACTGAGCACTGTTCTGAGTACTAAAGGGTTGCCTGTTCAGTTCCCAGTAAGGGCACATACCTGTGTTTCAGGCCAGGTGCCTGGTGTGGGTATGTGAGAAGCAACCAATCAATGTATCTCTTACACATCAGTGTTTCTCTCCCTCTCTTTCTCCCTCCCTTCCTATCTCTCCAAAAATAACTAAATAACATCTTTATTTAAAGTTTAAGTAAATAAGATCATGAATAAAATCTTATTCTCTTTGTGATTTTCTTCAGGACAATATTAGACCAAGAACACCTTAGATTCTGTGTAACATTGAGTTTTGTTCAACAGCATAAAGTATAATTGATTTAATGCAATTATATATATTTTCATGCAATTAATCAGGAAATACTAGTTTTATGCATTAGAATACATTGTAAGCTCATTGTCTGCCCCCCCAATAAAAAAAGAATACATTGTAGGCTTGTGACTAAGATGGCAATCTCTAGGTCACAGTGCCAAAAATAAAAATCTCTGCTCCAATTCTAAGTATAAAATCTTAGCAAAATTATTCTATCTGTCAATCTTTTTAAAGTGAGAAAGTATATGATGTCTGAAATGTAATGTGTTCAATAAATGCTAGTAATCACTTGTAAATATAGTAATAAAATTTAGTTTGCATACTTTCAGGGCCATGTTAAATTGGAAATTTATTTAAATGTGGTAAAGTAGAAAAAAACCTAAATTATGCCAAAAGAATGTTAGCATTACTCTATTAGTGAAAAGTTGTCAAAATTGGGACACATTACCATAAAGAAAAAGTTAGTTAGAACCCATCAGAATACATATATATATATATATATATATATACACACACACACACACACACAAATTCCATACATATTCTATATATTTAAATACTATATATACATATATATATTATATATATATATGCCAAGATACTTTGCCTTCTTAAATTTATTTATTTATTTTTTTCAATAGAGTCCTAATGTCATTATATCATTACATGCTTCTGTTAGAGGGTATCAGCTAGAACAAGTGTAGGGATGAAGGAGGCTGGGATGCAGAGAATGTTCCTTTTATACACAAGAGAGGAGTAGTGGACCCCTTTCAGCATGAGATGGGGAGGAGAAACACAGATGGAAGGGAAGAATAAAGAAGTTATGATCTTCAAAGATCCCAGTTTCAGCTGCACACTCTCAGGCCCTCATTCAAAATGTCAGGGCCTGAAAAGATAGAAGCCCGATGTGTTGTACTGGGAAGCTAAAAGCAGAGGGAGATTAACACCCTATTTTCTGCATAAATATCTGAGAAAAATGCCCTTGTAAGGTATTTCATGCCAATTTGAAGAATAGAAATTACCATGTGGCTCGTTCAGTCAGAAAAGTGTTTCCTTTTTCCTCCACAAGGCAGAAAATGGGTTTAGGAGTTCTTATGATAGCACTATAAAAAACACAAATATCATGGCCAATGCTGAGTAGTGTAGTTGCTAAGACAGTTGCTTTGGGTAGGGAAAAATGATACCATAGACAAGGGCCATAAAAATGAAAGAGAAAATGAGTCAGGTTTCGGGGCTTAAGGAGTGAACACCAACAGTAAGGGTGGGTCACTAAGTGGATTCAAGAGAAAATAATGAGTCCATATCCAGCAGAGGGTGCAGGCTCAGTGGAGGTAAGGTAAGTTTCATTCAATCTAGTCAGCCAAGCGTTACAGATTTAGACCAGGATCTTATCCAATTCCTCAGGGACAAGTGGCTTCCCCTTTAATGAAGGTGGTAAGAAACTTGGATGAGGTGGGAGTGAGCAGCAGAGACTCAAGGAGAAAAGAAACAGTCTATCAGAGGATATCAATTTCCAATTAATAGAAAAGTTGTTGAAATAAATTGGGTTACACTACAGTAAAGATACTTTTTAAACCAAACTTTAATTGATTTTTTAAGTGGAAGGTTGGATATTCAGGCCACTATTGACAAAGATAGGGTCTCTTGGAACAAGATAATGCTGAAAACGAAAACAAAAACAAAACTCATCACATCTGAATTTTCAAGTATGGAGTACAAAACCTATTACAGAAGATTCTGATATATTGTAATACTGGCCGAGAGAAGAATGGCCTATTAAATAATTGCTTCAACCGGTAATCATTTGAAAAACATGTTTGCATCAATCTGTGATTTAAAATCCTTCACTCCCACCGTGACCACCAGCACCAACAGAAACACACAGGATGATGGGGAATTAACCATAACATAAAATAAAAGAGTAATAGCAACAGCAAAAATCTTTGAAGCCAATGTTTTCCCCTAATTTAAAATCCATTTCCCTCAACTTTCTTATCTTCACAATTATATGACTATGATTTACCTCATAAATTTGCTCTGAGAGTTAATAGGAAGAATCAGTACTGAGTGCTTCCATGGTGACTGATGTATAATAGGCATCTATAAATGTAAACTAAGCACTATTTATGACTGTTACTATTACTGTGATAATTGTATTATTAATTGTAAAGATATAAACATTAAAATAAACAATGCCAATTTTGAGGAAATACATTGACATTCATAAGCTGTGTATGCTTATAACAGCTTTATTCAAAATCAAAATTATTTACCACTAAAATGCCCATCAATTGGTGAATAAATAAATTTGTAGTATGCGAGACAAGGTAGGATTTAACAATGAACTGTGAATACAGACAACAAAAATGAATGTCAAAAGCATTATTGCAAGGGAAGACTCCAGATAAAAAAGATTACATTATGATTTAATTTATATGATTTACTCTTTTTTTTGGTATCTGCCAATTATGTTTTTTATTTTTAAATTACAGTGACATACAATATTAGATTCAGATGTACAACTCTGTGATTAGACATTTATATAACTTATGAAATAATCAACCCCAAAATTTAGTACCCATCTAGTTATTATTATAGTTAGTATAATATTATTGACTATATTTCCTATTCTGTACTTTACAGCCCATGTTCAGTGACTATTCTGTTACTACCAAGTTGTACTTCTAAATCCCTTCACCTTTTACAGCCATTTCCCCAATGCCCTCCCATCTGGCCACCATCAAAATGTTCTTTGCATTTACAAGGTGGGGAAAAAGTAGGTTTTCAGTTCTGAGTATGCAAAACACAGAGTTTATTCTTATCTTATTATTTATTAATGATTTTATTATTATCCATACAAACAACTGCAAACTTCCTTTTGCCTCACCTTGTGTAACTCTGTTTCTGCTCTGCTTGTTTTGTTTTTGTTATTTTTAACAAAAATATGTTTTTGTAACATGCTTTTGTTACATTGCACATGTAAGTGAAATCATCTGGCATTTGTCTCTCTCTGACTTATTTTAACTCTGCATAATGCCCTCTAGGTTCATCTAAGTTGTTGCGGAGAGCAAACCTTTTTTCTTTTTTTAAAAATTTATTTATTTATTTTTTAAATTATTTTTCAACTACAGTATTCTGTCTTTTACACCCATCCCAGCCCAACCCCTGTGACCCCCACATCCCTCCCCTTTCCACCCCCCCCTTAGTTGTTGTCCATGTGTCCTTTTCTTTTTTAAAAGATTTTATTTATTCATTTTTAGAGAGAAGGGAAGAGAAGGAGAAAGACAGGGAGAGAAACATCAATGTGTGGTTGCCTCTCCCATGCCCAGTACTGGGGACCTGCAACCCAGGCATGTGCCTCAACTGGGAACCAAACTGTAGACCTCTTGGTTCACAGCCCATGTTCAGTCCACTGAGCCACACCATCCAGGGCTATATGATTCAGTCTTAAAGACAAACTATATGACAAAAATTACACTGTTGTCTGTATCCATGAAGGGTTTTTTTTTATCAATCCTTCCACCCCACATACCCCTGGAGCTGTCTGCTCTCTATCTATGAGCCTGCCTCTATTTTGCTGTTAGTGCAGTTTGTTCATTAGATTCCGCATATGAGTGAAATCCTTTAGTGCTTGTATTTCTATGACTAGCTTACTTAACTTGAGACTAAGCTTTAAATGAGAAATGGGCTCATAATAAATATTTTAAAGTGGTTTTCAAATGATAATTGCTATTGGTATTATTATGTAAATAAACAAACTGACCACAAAAGTATGTTTTTTTTCTACTCTGGCAAATACTGGTTGTCTACTCCAGTTCAGTTACTATTCATATAACACAAGTGATGAAAGAGTGTTTGAGTGGTGGGCAAATAGGATCACATTAGCTTTTTGTTGTTAGTTTGTTCCACTGCTTTATAAATCATCCAAAGAGTCCAGTCTCCCTGTGATGCTTACTTACTCCATTACATTATCATGTGGCAAAACTGGATAAACAATGGGTGATAGCTAAACAATAAACAAGGATGTTGCCTAGAGTAGTAAAAATGGACTAAGATAATCACTGATACTGTAGTAATTACCTGAAAGACATTAACGTGTAAAATTTACATTTTCCATATTGAATGAATCCAAAACTATCCTCACTCAAGTGGCCATAGCACAACATGCCTGATACATGAATATGATTCTCAGCTTACTATATACATATATGTATATAATGATTTATACAATTGATTACAATATAACCCATGCCAATGTCACTGAATTATGACGGCTGCAGAAAAAAGTGAAAGTATTTGCAACATAGAAAACTTTGTCCAAATAGAAGTCATTAAATTTATTTTTATTTATACACTGATTCTTACCCTTTTGATCTTCACTTGTTGACTTTCAAATATATGCACGTTTGATCTCAACACATTTCTTTCAAGTAAAACAGTCTCTGGATTCTCCTTCGTATTTGCTGGGTCTTGATGCTGTAAATAATGGGGTTCATCAAGGGAGGGAAAAGGATATAGATGTTGCCCATGAACACATGAACCAAAGGTGAGAGGTGCTTCCCAAAGCGATGCACCATAGTCAAACCAATAATTGGGATGTAGAAAACGGAAACAGCACAGATGTGTGATACACAGGTCTGCAAGGACTTGAGTCTCTCCTCCTGTGATGCAATAGCAAGGACTGCATGCAAGATCATGACATAGGACACAAGTATGAGCACTGAGTCCAAGAGCAGGTTGCTGATCACCAGGGCCAGACCATAGATGCTGTTGAAGCGGATATCTGAGCAGGCCATTCGAATTAAGTCTTGGTGCAAGCAGAAAGAGTGAGAAAGGATGTGAGGACGGCAATAATTTAAGAACTTTAGGCGAATGATGACTGGAGGTATGAGTAAAGTACTTCTACATAAGATTGCCACCCCAATTTTCATGATTTTGTCATTAGTCAGGATGGAGGAGTAGCGCAATGGGTGGCAAATGGCAATGTAGCGATCAAAAGCCATAGCTAGGAGGACAGAGGACTCCATAAAGGACAAACCGTGGATAAAATAGGACTGGGCAATGCAGGCATCCAGGCTGATCTCTTGAACAAACCCCCACAAGCTCCCGAGCACCGTGTGCACTGTGGACAGCCCCATGCCCAGGTCAGTGAGGGCCAGCAAGGCCAGCAGGTAGAACATAGGCTGGTGTAGACTTGGCTCGGTCCGGATCACATGCAGCACCAGGCAGTTCCCTGAGAGAACCACAGCATAGATGATGGAAAAAGGGATGGAGAACCAGAGATAGTTGACTTCTAGGCCAGGGAAACCAGTGAGAACAAATCTAGAACTATTGTGTTTTGAGATGAAGATAGCAGACATTAAGAGAGAACTGAAATATTTTGAGAGATGTGGCAAATTAGATTGCTTTATGATTCTCTAATTTCTAGTAATGTTTGTATGATTTTGAAAATAAAACAAATAATATAAAATAAAATAAAATTTCCTTTAGTTTTATAAACCCGGAAAAATAGAGACCTGATTCTTTATCTTTTAGGGTAAAAATACCTTCTTTAGATACACATTTTTCCACTTCTGGTGACAAGCAGTAGAAAAAAGCCTGGAGAATAAGGAGTTTTATGCAGAAACAATAATCTCAATGTGCATGTGGGATTTAGATTTGGGGCTGGGCTTCTGGGAATGTCTATTTATTTCTAGAGGAAGATAATGTGTGATCACAGGTGTTTACTGCTTTTATGGCTGGTAGGATCCTCAAGAAAGTGTGAAGTGGGTAATTTTTCTCTTGAGTACCATAGCTCTTCTTTTCACTATCCCCAAAGGGTTATAACACCCCAAATGAAATTGACTGGTTAATTCAATCTAACTTTGCAGACCTAAAATTTAGGTAAGAGGAATTTAACAAAGTAGAATCAGAAATTTTTTTGTACATCTCACATTGCCCTTCTCTAAATGATTTACCCTAGTACAATTGTTTTAATTACACTTTTTCTTCTCTATATTCCATGCTTTTCTTCTCCATTTTCATCCATGTTTTAATATCTTGTACAGACTTCTACTTTTTCCAATCCTCACAACAACTTAACTCATTGTTTTCTATATTATATAAATGGCATATATTTTTTAAACTGGAAAATAGTAGACCAATATTTGATCTTAGGTAACAGCTTGAAATGCAATGACCAGATCATATGATGAATAGTTAACTTTTTAATATAGTGTCAACCTGTATTTTAAAATAACTGTATTATTTGACACTCTGACTAGTAGTATATGAGAATTAAAGTTCTCCTTATCTTGGCCAATATTCGGTATGGTCAATATTTGGTATTTTTTTATGTTTGTTTTATTTCGCTTTGCTATATTAATAGGCAAGTAGTGATATATCATTGTTTTAAATTTGTACTTCCCTTATGACAAATACTTTAATACATTTTTCATATGCTTATTTGTCATATATCCATCTTCTTGGTGAAGTACCTGCAATAATAATTTTCTTTTTTCTGGTGAGGTTATTTCCTTCTCAGTGAGGTTGGAGAGTTCTTTAGATATTTTAATTACAAAACCCTTAACAAGTAAATAATTTGCAAGTTGTTATTTTCAGCTTGTAAGTTATCCTTTCTTTCTCTTAACTGTGACCCCCAAAAAGCAAAAGTTTAATTTTTAAAAATAATTTGACAGAGTGCAATTCATATTTTTTAAGTATTGTGCTATTTTTTTATATCTATAAACATTGTCAAATGCAAGATCACAAGATTTTCTCATGTGTTTTCTTCTAGAAGTTTTACATTTTCCCTTTAGGTCAATTATCCATTTTGAGTTAATTTTTATATAAGAGAGGGAACCCTCCCAAAAAAGGAATCATCTTCTGGAGGGTGGGCCCCTTGTAGTGCAGGCTTCCCCTGCTAGATTAGTGTTTTAGGAACTCATCTGTATCAGCATACTAGCTGGCATTATTGTGAGAGACTGTGTTTGGCTTCAGTGAATATTTTTTTAAGATTTTTTAATGAGTTGGCCCCTTTTATGATGGGCGATTTATGAGTGCACCTGCCCACACCTTGCTGTTTGGCAGTTTTTGTTCAAAACCAGCATCACCCTTAAGCCTCACCCTTTCTACTCATTTGATCCTGCCCTGAGCAACTTTCTGTTGCTGTTGTTTTCCTGGATGAAAAAGTCCTCAAAGGGAAACAGTTTGCAAATGCAGAAGAGGTGAAAAAAATAATTGCAGAAGCACTAAGAGTTGATCAAAATCGATGAGTTCAAAAACTATTTTGAGCAGTGGAAAAATGTCTCAGTAGGTTTAATGCATCAAATGGAGAGTATACTTAAAAGGTAAATGAAGTTTAAACATGTAAGAATACATACACAATTTTCTATAAATAAATTCCATTTTGTGGTTCCCTCCTTATAAGGTACCAAGATTATTTTTAAAAGGCTATCCTTTCTCAGTAGAATTATTTTTACACTTTTGCCAAAAATTAGTTGCATATGTTGATGTGGTCTGCCTGAGCTGTCTATTCTGTTCTGTTAACCTACATGTTTCTACTTTCACAAATACTGCCTTGTTTCTGTGTCTTTAAAAGTCTTGAATTGAGTAGAATGAGTCCTTCAAAATTGTTTTTTTTCCCACACTTGTTTTGGCTACTCTAGTTCATTTACCTTTGCATATAAATGTTAGAATACTCATCAATATGTGTATAAAGGTTGCTGAGGTATTCATTAAGACATGGCTGAATCTAAAAATAAAATTGATGAGGATTGACATAATTTCCAACCCATGAAAATAAAATATTTTCTAATTTATTTGCATGTTCTTTGATTTTTCCATTGGAATTATGGAGTTTTCCTAGTCCAGATTTTGAATAATTTTTTTCATATTTAATTCTAAATAGTTGACTTTTCATGCAATTATAATGGTATATTTAATTTCAAAACCAAATTGTTAGATTTCTGCCTTTAGTTATGATATGTAAATACTTTAGAAGTTATCTCTCCCATTTTTACAACAAAAATAAAAACTAAACAAATGAAGACTAATGACTTTACTTGAACCCATCAGAGAATTAAAGTTATAGGGTAAATCACCACCTAGAATTACAGAGAGAAAATTAAATAAAGAGAATGTCAACACACACTAGTTTATCTAGAACAGAGGATGAGGGAGCCATAAATTGGGAAGAATGTTTAAGCAGAATTTTTAATAAATTTCTGAGTACTCAGTATGGAATAAGATAAGAGTAAGAAGCTTTTGGAGACTAATATTGTGGTGGGATGCTATAGACAAGAAAAGTCCAAATGTGTACAGAACTTCTATTTGAGTCAAACTGACAACAGTTGTGAGGAAGCACAATCTCAACAGATTGAGAAAATGCTCTGGAGAATGGCAGTTTTGTAGTCCATTTATATATTATGATTGAAAGAGGAAGCATTAGGGGTGGTTTCATAAAATTTATTGGTAATAGATGAGTTAGGTGGGAGAAAGTAAAGTGGCAAAATCTCTGAGACTGGATAAAGAGTAGAATGAAGAGATGCCTGTTGCGTTATATTAGTGGGTATAGGATGGTTAACAATGAACATTTACAGCATATAGAGAAGGCATGCTCTAGAACAAGGTAAGGATGTGGGCAACTCTGGTGCACTGGTGGTAGGAAGTTGGGCCTTGAGGGATCTGGAGAAAAAGGGGTTACTCTGATATTCCAAAGGTACATATAAAGGTGGATATAAAAAGACAATAGACAGGCTCAGGTAAGGTAAAGATTGACCTTTGTCAAGGAATATACCAGCCTAGGACAGGACCACTTGCCATGACTCATTTTTAGTTGAGAAGTTTTAATTTTAGACCATCCTGTGTGGTTGCTTTGTATCTCTGCGTTTGTAAGGCCTTCAAGGTAGGCCTCTCTGAGCTTGTCAGGGTTAGTGTGTAGCATTTTTTTTGTCCACATTACTTTTATAAACTCTACCTTCAAAGACTCACCGCGCACCCAAGAAAATAATTCTAACAGTGAAAATCCAAGAAAAAATAATCTTCTGTATCTAGCAGGTAGAGGGTAAAGATAACTATTTTGAAATACATGAGTATTTTCAGTGTGCTGTCCGTAATAAAGCCTCCTCTCCAGTGACAAAGACTTTCCCAGAGCCTTCCTTAGTTAGAAGACAGAAGGGGAGTTACTCAGCTTCAGACCCTCTAGCCTTCCTGTGTCACTTTAATAGGGAGGAGGAAGCAAATAAACACAACTGAATGTCACAACCTGAAACTCACTAAAAGATAGAGATTTATTGTAAGGTTATAAAAAGGTTTCCCTCCTTCCAGTTATTATTTTCTGTCCCTTAAGTAGCCAGAATATCAGAAAACACACTGTGTACCTGAACAATGTTATTAATTAACTTTATCTAATTGGTATAACTGATATTTATTTTTAATTATATTTCATCAATTATGCTATTACAGTTGTCTTGATTTTCCCCCCTTTCCCCCCCTCTACCCAGTTCTCTTGGTCAATTCTCCCACCATTTTTCATGTTCATGGGTCATGCATATAAGTTCTTTGGCTACTCCATTTCCTATACTGTACTTTACATATGTACAGTATAAGAATTGCTTTACTTTGTCAGACCCTCAGAGTCTTGTTCTGCATAGGTGCAGCTCACAGATTAAGCGAACTCTGATGTAAATTTCCATAGCACTTTACCTGGAAACTTTATTCTTCTCCATTTCCCTGTCCTGAAAATTACAGCTACCACTGTTATTTCATATACCAATCCCTCCTCCTTGTACCTGGCACAGCTGAAGCTCTGTTTGTATTCTGCTTCTCTATGCAGTATATGGGAAATTTTATGCAAGGAGAAATTGGGTAATAATGTACATTTCACCTCATGTATTTCTCTTTATGAAAGACCAATATTTCAAAATGTAAAACATATGTTACCCATTGTCTGAAAATATTTTCTTCATATAATTGTGTATAATTTTATAGTTACAGGTACTTTTGGAATAACTGTGGATGTTCTCTGCAGTGAAAATTATGGGCCACAGTGTGTTGCGTTAATTTTTGTGTACTGTTATATTTTTAAATTTAGAAAAGTGAATTGTTTTTAAAAAATTAAATAACAAAATATGTGCCTTTTATATTTCCATTGCAGTGCTTTTTATTTTTTGTGTAGGTTACATTTTGGCAAAATGTGGAACTGTGGACCATATGCTGCCTGCCTCTAGTTGTTTTTGCAAGTTTTGTAAGTTAAGAAAGCTTTCTTCATGTATAAAGGGGTTATAACACAAATCACAAAGAAAATACATGACAGAGACCATACACAGACTAAAATATTTACTATCAAACCCATTACTCAAAATGTTTCTTGGAAATGTTGATACTTAAGATTAGAAATAAAGAGTTTTGCAGGTATTAGAAGATATCTCATCAGTTGTAGCTGTGAGGAACCATAAAACATTTTTACAAAATTAACATCCACTACATCTTTTTTGATTTGAACAAATTTTGAATTTTTAAATAGAAGGACTCCAAAGTTAGTAACAAACCCACATTTTTCCTAAGTAAGGTTCTTTATCTAGTCTTCTATCTCTATTATACATGTTCTGATAAAGGTTAGAATTTAAGAGTTATTAACTTGTATATTTATGTATTTGATATCAGTCTGCTTGTCTCATACCTATCTATGTGCCTGAATATATTTTATATTTATGGCAAAATAGGACTGCTTCTTTAGAATACATGCTATACAATTCGAATATACATGCTCTAATATCATGAGACTAATAATTCAGAGTTTTTAGTATAGAAGAGGAGAAATGGCTGTAAATAAAAATTAGAATATTTGGAGAAGTCCTTTAAGAAAATTAAATGGTTACCAAGTTTGGTTGCAGAAATCCAGGGACATAGTTCTACAAAGGAATCAAGATCTGCCTAATGTAGTAGCATATATAGAATTATTTTTTCTAATCTGGAGATAAGAATGATGAAGATTATATATTGCTAGAGATAAAAAGACGGCATCTTCTCCCTTTGAAGGTCCTCATAAATGAAAGTTCCACAAGGTCTTCAGTAATACTAAGCTTTATTACTTTCCCAAATGGTTAGTCATCTGACATCACATTAATTATCAAACAATATATATTCTTCAGCAGAATAAAATGCCCCTGCTGAAATTTTTTTGACTTGTCAATACTTGTCAAATCCAGAAAAGATAAGAGAAGATTCAATGAAGCACATATATGAAGCATTCATTCTGAACAGTACAATACATCAATAACTCTAAGACAGGAATTATGTTTGTGAGGGTTGTAGCCATTTATAGATATGTAAAATATAGTGATAAAATTTCCTCTGAAGCAAGAAACAGAGATGTCTGTTGATGAATTAGTGAGAATGGAAGGGTGATGATGATTTGGAATGGCTCTTAAGTGAAGTGTTAACCATTCTGAAAATATCATTTAAGGTTAGAGACCATTTGTAACTCCTGCGATTAACAAGGCAACTATTCAAATGGTGATAAAATTGTGCTTCTGTTGATGAATAATATCTGTACTCGAGTAATTTTCTTGTAGCTATTTCTTGCAAGATGATTGTTTCTAGACAGAAATGAGAGACATGTGATGAGTGACTGTGCTCTCAAAACTTCCAACACTATATTTGATATTATATACAATGGGTTTTATTTCCATTCATGAATCTATAAATCTTTTAATGAATGGCATATCATATAACATCTTAATGTTCAATTACCTTATGCATAATTTAAATAAACATCCCTTTCCTCTCCCTGCCCAAAGGTTTCTATGTCTAAACAACTCACTCCTTTTTAATTCAAAGTGTTTCACTTCTTTCTGTCTGCTGCATAGAATTCCATTGTGTATATGTACCACAATTTTTTGATCCATTCATTTACTGACGGGCACCTAGGTTGCTTCCAGCTCTTGGCTATTGTAAATTGTGCTTCTATGAACATTGTGGTGCATAGGTTCTTTGAAATTGATATTTTGGGACTGGAAAGCATTATGCTGAGTGAAATAAGCCAGGGGTTGAAAGACAAATACCATACGATCTCACCTTTAACAGGAAGCTAAACAACAAAACAGACAAGCAAGCAAAATAAAAACAAATACACTGAAATAGAGAACAGGGGAACAGCGACCAGAGGGGAGAGGGGAGGGAATTTAAGGGGGAAAAATGGGAGGGATTTAGAGGAACAAGTATGAAGGACACAAGGAAATTAACTAAGGGGGGTGGAAATGGGAGGGAGGTGGGGTGCATGGGGGAGGGGTAGGCTGGGATGAGAGAGATAAACAGAAAACTGTACTTGAAAAATTACAAAATAAAAATTTAAAAACAAAGTGTTTCACTTCTACATGGAGAACCACTTCTTAATCCTGCCACGAATCTGTGGGGTCTTCACACTGTAGATGATGGGGTTCAGCAGGGGTGGGAAGATAATGTAGATGTTTCCCATGAGAACGTGAATCACAGGAGAGAGATGCTTCCCGAAGCGGTGCACCATAGTCAAACCGATAACTGGAATATAGAAAACCAGGACAGCCGAGATGTGGGAGATACAGGTCTGCAAGGGCTTGAGCATCTCCTCTCCAGATGCAATAGCCAAGACAGAGTGCAGGATCAGAATGTAGGACACAAGAATTAATATGGAATCAAGCAAAAGTGTACAAATCACCAGAGCCAAGGCATACAAACTGTTGAAGCGGGTGTCAGAACATGCTAGTCTCAGCAGGTCTTGGTGAAGACAGAAAGAGTGGGAGAGGACATGCAGATGGCAGTAGTGAAAAAACTTTAGGCGAGTCGCAGGAGCAATGATGAATATGAAACTCCTAACTAAAATACCCAGTATAATTTTGATGACCCTGGCATTGGTTAATATGGATGTGTACCTCAGAGGATTATAGATTGCCGTAAAACGATCAAAGGCCATGGCGAGAAGGACTCCAGACTCTGTGAATGATAATCCATGAATGAAGTAAATCTGTGCGATGCAGGCATCCAGGCTGACTTCCTGGCTGAGCCCCCACAGGATCCCCAGTACTGTGTGCACTGTGGACAGTCCCATGCACAGGTCAGTGAGGGCCAGCATGGCCAGGAAGTAGAACATGGGCTGGTGCAGGCTTGGCTCAGTCCGGATCACGTGCAGCACCAGGCAGTTCCCTGAGAGAACCATAGCATAGATGGAGAAGAAGGGGATGGATAGCCAGGGATATTCCCTTTCCAGACCTGGAAAGCCTGTTAGAAGAAACATGGAGGAATTGGTGTCATGAGCAGAAAGAGGAGGCATGGATAACTTGAGATGCTTTTTCTGTGAGTCTGAAATTATATCCATTTGGTAGGTCACATTCAAACAACCTATTTTTTCATACAGGAGCAAGGTGAGTAAAAGGGAGATACCATGCAGCATAGAATTCTTTAAATCATATTAAAAAGTCACAGTTGCTGTTCACATTCATCATCCAAGAGCATTGCAACACTTAAAAATCTCACGCTATTTCTACTTGGTAGAACATTGAGGGTAGAAAAAATATCTAACTTATTGGCCTTTTCTCAAGCAATTTTAAACTCTGAAAGGATTTGATTCCCAAAATGAATATTAATCCTTCAGTGTCATTATAAAAAGTCACTACCTTCACCTTCACAGGACCCTTTCATTCATCCTGTAATTCAGTCTGTCTCCTCTCTCCAGCAATCCCTGGTCCTTGCAAAACTTCAAAGATATAGTTGTTTCTCTGTTCCCAGGAGAGTAGATAGTATCTTTTTAAGTCCTTGCACAAGAAAGAGCCAGAGGGCTATGATTTATAATATTCAGAAGGAGGCTAATGGGTATAAATTGACCTCAGGTCCCCAGGGACATTCTATTTACATTTCAAAGAGAATGATGAAAACAGCTATGCCTGACTGCAATCTGGAATTATCCAAGATCAGTGAATTTATTTTATTCAGCAAACACATAGTCCATTTGACATTTTGGACTCTTTAAGTACTCTTTTAGGCATTTTTGAGTTACAGGTAATTTAAGCCTCACACCAAGGCTGAGCCATAGGTGGTATACCAGAGGGGAGGTGGAAGAGGAAAATGGGGGGAAGGGAAGAAGGGTTTTCAGGAACAACTACAAAGGACTCAAGGACAAAACCAAGGAAGGGTGAAATCAGGGGAAGGAGGGGGGATGGCTGGAGGAGGAGTGGTGTGGGGGTAAATGAAGACAACTGTACTTGAACAACAATAAAAGAATTAAAAATAAATTAAAAAAATAACTATGAGACAGTTACACAATAGAATACTATTGTATTGTGTAAATACTATAGAGAATTGTTGTTAAATTCCTAAGTGTTTAATTCTGCTTAGCAGAACCTACATTTTCCCATCTATCCCCTGCTTTCCAAAAATATACATCATGCCACTTTGCTTTATGAAAGACTTATATTAGTATGGTAATGGTAATTTCTAGTACAGAAACCAACTAACCTTATTTAATTACAATGAAAAAGGTCATAAAAATATTTAGAACAATAACAATACCATTATAGCTATGTAATAAGGGAAAGTTTCCAAGTACATATCTCTAGGTCAGTTTATCCATAGAAATACAATGTGAGTCACTTCTGTAGGTCTAAATGCTCTGAATAAAAAGAAACCAGTGACTAGTGTAATATTTCATTAACCTAATATAGTTTATTGTCAGCAACTAGTCAATATAAACATTATTTAAAGAAACATTTTAAATCATTTTCCACACTACATTCTTGATCCAATTTGCATTTTCTTTTCTTTTTTTTAAAGAATTCTTATGAGCTTATTTGAGTCAAACTAACAACAATTGCTGGGAAGCAAATTCTATCTATCTATCTATCATTTATCTATCTCTATAAAAATATATAAGATATATTTTATTGTTGTTTAAATAGAGTTGTCTCTATTTTCCCAAGACCACTTTACCCCACTCCACCTACCCCCACCTCCCACCCTCCATCCTTCCCTACTTTGGCTTTGTTCATGGGTCCTTTATACATGTTCCTTGACCACCCTTCCCCTTCTTCCCTCCATTATCCCCTCCCCCACTCTGGTTAATGTCAGTTTGTTCTTTATTTCAATGCCTCTGGTTATATTTTGCTTCATTATTTGTTTTGGTAACTGGGTTCCACTTATAAGTGAGATTATACACCTGGCTTATTTCACTTAATATAATGCTCTCCACTTCCATCCATGCTGTTGTGAAGGGTAGGAGCTCCTTCTTTCTTTCTGCTGCATAGTATTCCATTGTGTAAATGTACCATAGTTTTCCATCCACTCAATTACAGAAGGACAGTTAGGTTAATTCCAGCACTTGGCTATTATAAATCATACTGCTATGAACATTGGGGTGCATATGTTCTTTTGAATTGGCGTTTGAGGATGCTTAGGATAAAATCCTAGCAGTGAAATTGCTGGGTCAAAGGCAAGTTCCATTTTTAGTTTTTTGAGGAAATTCCATACTGTTTTCCACAGTAGTTGCACCAGTCTGCATTCCCACCAACAGTATACTAGGATTCCCTTTTCTCCACAACCTCACCAGCACTTACTGTTTGTTAATTTGTTTATAATGGCCATTCTGACTGGTGTAAAGTAAGTATCTCATTGTAGATTTAATTTGCATCTCTGATGGCTCATGATGCTGAGTATTGTTTCATATGTCTCTGGGCCCTCTGTATGTCCTGCTTGGAGAAGTTTCTGTTCAGGTCCCTGGCCCATTATTAAATTGGGCTTCTTGTTTTTCTGGAGTGGTTGAGTTCCCAATTTGAACTTATCACATTTCATGTACTCAATAGCTATTTGTGGCTTATGGCTACCTTTTTAAGTATTGCAATTCTGACCTCAGGCTTTCATCTCTGAAATGGAAATAATAGCGATTTGTTTTTATTAATGTGTTTCTCTACATCTTCATTATTCTAAATGCTTTATTTATATAGTCATCTAATTTAATTTTCAGGACAACCCTATGAAACTGGTAACATATTAACCCCATTTTAGATGAGAAAACTGATATATGCTTAAGTGTCTTGCTGAAGTTCACAATTCTCAAAGGCTTTGAAGAATGGTTTCTATGTCAGAAAGTTGACTCTATGGGCACATTTTTTATTGCTATGCTCTACTGACTCTGAAAATAAAGATATGATCTTCAAATAATTCTAGCAATTAAATTAGATAGCAAAAATACTCTAACTCTGAGTTTTAATGATACTAAAATTCCTAGCACACAGTAAATTTAAGAAACCTCAATAATATTGTTATGAAAACAGAGATTCTGAATTCAAGCAGCTTATAAAGTTTATCAACTTTATACAAAACTATATGACTTATAAACAGTGTTTTATATTTGCCAGCACATGAACTCTGAATATCTAAGCAGAGGATTCAAATAAAGGGAGAGAGATAAAATAAGGCAGAAATGAAGAGAAATAAAATGAAATTTTATGTTAATAACAATAATCTACTTTATATAGGGCATACCTGCTGCCCTTTAAATAAAAATTAAAGGCCAGTCTGGGAGGAAACAAGCTACCAAAGGTTTCTGAAACAATCTGTCCAACACTCATTTTCAAACCCCCTGGGACGAAGAAATTATTTTTATAAACTTGTGCTTGTACGAACATTGAAAACGTGTTGGAGTGGAAAGTCTGCGTTGCAGGCGCTACCCATGGCTTTTCCCTCATTTTTCCAAAGGGGCACAGGTTGCTGCATCCCTCAGCACAGCCTGTCCCAGGCTCCAGCATTCACTTCACTGACTGTCGCACTCTTGCACCTGCTCAAATCTTGCTTCTCTGAGGATCTCAATGCCACGGTGTCTGAAACAGGAGAGTGATCTCCATTTTCAAAATTGGAAAGAACATCTCTGCCGCAAATGGCAGTTGCACTTTATTAAGCCTTCAAACACAGATGTCAGAATGGACCACATGGTTAGTAATTGATTTTTATAAACTACTTAGTGTTTTATATAATAAGCAGGGGCTAGCTAATCTTACACCCTACAACAGTGGCTAATTCATTTCACTAGGTTTTAAGTGTGAATAACCTGAATGTGCTTTCTTTTTCTGCTTTGTATTCTTAAGCCTCATTATTACAACTTCACAAGCCAAACATTTATTTTTTTCTGCTGCCTGTAATAGGAAGTCTTGAAGCAGAAAGTGATGGTGATGTTGTAACCAGGGACATGAATTCCTCTCATGAGACCAAAGTTCTGATAACCAGGCAGTTTCATACGTAGGCATAAATTAATTTGATCAGTGTTTTGGAGCAAATTTACCTTTAAAAAGCATGAGCAATGTGCTAATGTAATCATTTTAATTATAGCTGTTACTTCAGACTTTATATTAAGGCAGTGAAAATATATATATATATATAAATCTTTCACAGTCTGAGAGGCTTCTCTCTTTACAGACCAATGTTTGTGCAACCTGATTTCAAAGTCAGTAACTCTACCTTTCTTCTTACTGGTTTTCCTGGCCTGGAAAGAGACTATCCCTGGCTCTCTATCCCCTTCTCCTGTATCTATGCTATGATAATTTCAGGGAACTGCCTGGTGCTACATGTGATCCGAACTGAGCCAAGCCTGCACCAGCCCATGTTCTACTTCCTGGCCATGCTGGCCCTCACTGACCTGTGCATGGGACTGTCCACAGTGCACACAGTGTTGGGGATCCTGTGGGGGCTCAGTCGGCAGATTGATTTGGATGCTTGCATTGCTCAGACCTTCTTTGTTCATGGCTTATCATGCATGGAATCTGGAGTTCTTCTTGCAATGGCTTTTGATCGCTTTACAGCAATCTGCAATCCTCTGAGATACACATCCATCCTCACCAATACCAGAATCATCAATGTTGGTGTGGCTATTCTAGGTAGGAGTTTCCTATTCATTATTGTTCCCATTGTCCGCCTAAAGTTCTTCCATTACTGCCGCCCCCACGTCCTCTCCCACTCTTTCTGCCTCCACCAGGACCTACTCCGGCTGGCCTGCTCTGACATCCGCTTCAACAGCTTCTATGCTTTAGCCCTGGTCATTTGCACTTTGTTTTTGGATTCGGTGCTCATTCTCATCTCCTACATCTTGATTCTGCATTCCGTCTTGGCCATTGCATCCCAGGAAGAACGACTCAAGTCCTTGCAGACCTGTGTCTCCCACACCTGTGCTGTCCTGGTTTTCTATATTCCGATCATTGGTCTGACCATGGTGCACCGTTTCGGGAAGCATCTCTCACCTGTGGTCCATGTCCTCATGGGCAACATCTATATCCTTTTTCCACCCTTGATGAACCCCATTATCTACAGTGTCAAGACCCAACAGATTCGTAGCAGAATCCAGAGATGGTTCACTAAACAGAGTACTAGAGGTTAATGTGTTTTAGAAAAGGGGTGATGGTATTTGGAAAAGGAGTGACTAATAATGATTTGCAGCAGAAATAATAAATTTATATGTAATTCTTAAAAGGTTAAAGGCATATTTATAGTCATTTTCTAATTTAGTTTTTCAAAGCCAGATAAATAGCCAGAGAGAATGTTCCTGATCTTATTTCCTTATTTTAAAGTTAAATATAATGTGTACTAAAGTGAATTATGTTCCATAAGGTACCAGTGAGCATTTACCAGGAAATGATTTAACTTTTAGTACCACCCATGCTCTTCAAATTCTAGTTCAAAGTGTGATTTTGTTGCTGCATGTAACTGTTACATGTCTATACTTATATCATAAACAACTGTTACATGTTATTGTGCTGTGTCACAGACTGACTGTTGAGTCATTCATACCTCTCTACCTTTCATTAAGCAAAAGTGTCCAGAAAGTTCATTCTGTCTCATTTAATAGAATGCATTGTATAGGTAGATTAGATATCAGAGTTTAATACAGAAGGTTTGGTGAACATGACACTGAGACAGCTATTACCTCTCTACATATCCTACTCCATATGTCCCTACACATATGCCAGCATTGTAGTGAATGCAGAAGAGTTTAAGATGCTTATGAGACTTGTCAATTGATTCTAATCATGGCATACAGGGGGCTTTAAAGGCAGTTTGAGAAACTTCTTTATTTTTAGGAGAGGTTGCTGAAGAACAGAAATATAAAGTAAAACATTAATACCTAGACTGAGGATAGAAATGTGGCTTTGAGATTCTTTTGAACATATGTCTTATGTCTAAGTCTCATCTTCAATACTGGGAACAACAAGGAATTCAATTCAGTCATTAAATGCAAGTGTGCATTTCCTTGGTCCTTGCTTTTTAAAAAAAATGATCTCCTCCCAAAATAAAAAAAAAATGGTATTAGCCTCAAGATTTCTTTTTCTCAGTTGAATATTGTCACTTATGCACAGCTATACACTAGCCATGGCTGGGGTAGCAGAGTTATCAGCAGAACCTGACTGTACTTAAGTTTGTACATTGGAAGAAGCCAATTATCCTATATTTCCACTAATAATTTTCTAAGAAATATAAAAGTATTCCATTTTGAAAATTAATATTGGATTTGTTACCTTTTAGTTAGTCTTTTATTGTTTTGTTATTGGAAAACTAATAATTAGTTTTTATTTTTAATTAAAAGACCCCAGGTTTATATTTGTGCCCTGTGCCTTTCCAAAGTGGCCATTCATCACCCATGACATCCCTGCAGCTCAGGCCTCTTTAACAGCTCTGCCTCTGCTGGTTTGCTTTCCCTCAATTACTTTCTTTCTATTGAGCTTCCTATGATGGTACTTCTTTATTTCAGAATGGCTTCTCCTTGCATCAGTCCTGTCTCTTTCCCTATAGCCCATTGCCTAAAGACCCTGCTTGCAAATCACTGGTACCTGATCTAGTTACAGTGGAGAAGTTTGCAATGTATTCCTCCTCTTTCTTGGGGAGGGCAGGCCACAGAAACCTCTATATTAAATTATGACATTAATAGATGATGACATAAATGATCTTTATAACATATACATTAAGCAAGATGTTTTATGTACATCAGATTTGTAAGAATAACTGTCTGAATTAGTTCAAGGCAGTAGTATTGTCCTCATTTTGTACAACAGCGTAATAGGATTGGGGACTTTAAATTTCAGGTAAATTTATTCTTTTCTCTATAAGTATTTCTAAGAAAATAAGTTTGCCAATAATCAAGGTTTTATAAAATCTCATAAGTGTCCCCTCAATTTCTTTACAAACTGAATGGAACACACAGGAGACTGAAATGAGCCCAAGTAAATAACAGTGAAAAGGAAGGATTATTTATAAAAGTGATTTATGTACGTTAGTGTCAAAATACTGTGCTTACACACTCACATTTTATTTTATTTATAACTAAACTGATAACTTATAATTAGAAATTAACAAATCAGTTCATTGTATGCATATGAGTATATGTTTATATGCATATTTGTGTTAATATATTGTGTATATTATTGATCTTTATTATTTGCAGATTCTGTGCTTGTGAGTTCATATTCAAAACCACAAAATTAGTACTGACAGCATTTGTACCATCATTACTGAACATGAGCAGAACAGCAAAAAACTGGGGTTGCCCAGGGCACATTTTCCCAGATGAGGCTGGACAAGGTGATGCTCCGCTTTCTTGTATTGGTTCTTACACTGTACAAATGTATCTTCTGTGTGATCTGGTCAATGTTAAGTTTTTCTTATTTTGTGCTGTATGTTGGTGATTTCAAACAAATGGCCCCAAGCATAGTGCTGAACGGCTGTCTAGTGTTTTTAAACATAAGGCTGTGATATAACCTACGGAGAATATACATGTGTTAGAAAAGCTTCCTTTAGGCATGAGTTACAGGGTTAGGGTTTGTAAGTTCAATGTTAATTAATCTAAAATATTGTGCACCCAGAAAAAGAAGATTTTTACTCATCTATGTCCGAGGTTACTCTGATAAGTACTAAAGTGTGTATATATATATATATATATATATATATATATATATATATAGTGTGTGTGTGTGTGTGTGTGTGTGTGTGTGTGATGAAACTATGGAAAACATGGAAAAGTGGGTAAATATGTGGGTTTATGACATGATGGGCAATTAAGTGAAGTACAGTGTACAGCACTGTTGTGAAGGGGAAATCCAGATAACCCAGGATCGGGAAAGCATTGAGCCTTTCTCAGATAGTCTTTGATTGTAATGAAATACTGCATGTAATTTTCATAAGAAATAAATACTAAATGTGTTTAATACATAGTAAAATGTGTCTTTAAATAGAAACACATGCACAAATACTTATGTATTAACTGGCTGATGAGAATATGACTAGAGGCTCAAAGGAACTTAATGCTGTATTACTCCAGAGGAGAAATGGTTTAGAATTTACTAATACAGTGTTTGCAGTGGCTTCACAGAACCTAACTAGCAATTAATGAGGTTAGACTCTGTCTCTGTCTCTCTCTCTCTCTCTGTCTGTCTCTGCGTGTGTGCGTATATATATATAATACAAATAGAGTATATATATATATTCTATTAACATATACAGTGAAAAAGAAGAAAATTTTACGTTTTGTAATAGTATGGATGGACTTGGAGACCATTATGCTAAGTGAAATAAACCAACCAGAGAAAGACAAATCCCATGATTCCACTCATATGTGGAATCTAATGAGCAAACTGATCTAACAAGCAAAACACAGACAGACTCATAGATGGAGAGCAGATGACAGCTTGTGGGGAGGGGAGGTTAGGAGGTGGGGGGATTGAACAAAAAGGAAAAAGGACTGATGGACATGGATGACAATGTGGTGATTGCTGGGGACTAAATGGTAATGGAAAAAATACAATAAAGATTAATTTTTAGAAATGCTTACATAACAATAAAAATATATGTGCATATATACATATATACACTAAACCATTTATTATATTATTGATATGTTTGAAAAGTTTATTTAGAGAAACAACCAATTTCCTTATGATGTTTCCATAATATTTAATATTTGACATTTCAAAACATAAAGGAGTCCGAAAGTTGTAATTTAGAGTTGTTTGCATCATATCTGTGGATGAAAAAAATGTTTCAGAACAATATTGATGACATGATTTGATTTTTATTTAAGTAATTCTACCTATATTCAGGTATAATAAACCCTGAATATCACACTCAACTCTAATGAAAGAGCGGGAATAGAGGACAGAAGAAGGTATTTTATTGTATGAGTTTTATACAATGAAAGATATTGTTTTAAGTATATATAGAGGTATTCAAAGGAAAGTGTTCTATAAATTTTTCATTTAATATGGTATAATTTTAACTTTTTAATTGATTTTTCATATGTATGAGCATCACAACTTCATATACATCAAAGATTATATGTAAATTTTGTGATTGGCAACATTTTCTAGACATAACAAATTATAAAAATAATGTAAATAATAAAGTTTTGTGTATGAAACCCAAATTATTATTCTGTCAATAAGAGTAGGAAAGAGAGAATAGAGGCAAAAAGTTTAAAATATATTAGTCACATTCTGAAGCAATAAAAACTCAGCAATAAAAAGTCAGTGGGATTTCAGAGGACAGAGACAGCTGACTTTCTAAAGCCATGGTCGCCAAGAGCGGTCTGCTATTTCTGAGGATAAAGCAGGAATTCAAGGAAGAGAATTTTCCTGGCAGAAGGCCCATTCTAAAGGTCAGAGAAACAGACATTTTCAAATTTTGGCAAGGTATCAGGAGAAAAAAAGGAGGCAACAGAAAGATCTAAATCCTGGTAAGAAAGGAGGAATGGAGAATTAATACTGAAAATGTCTTAGTTTTCACATAAGACAATTGCTGAACTCTGAAACTTTACATAAAGGGAGGTCAAAAAAGTAAGCAGATGACATCTGGAAAATAAATAGGGAGTTTTTCACAGTCTTTCCTTGCTCAACACACAAGGATTATAGTCTAGGGCGTGGATTAGACACCTAGTCCACAGTTAAAAGCCCTAAAAGAAAAGCCTTAGGTGCAAGACTGCCACTGGCCAATAAAAGGTTGGATAATGTGATATGTATATATGATAGGATATAAGATCCAGAACTGTGAGTAAAAAATGAGAAAAAAGCAAGGAAATAGAATTGGAAGAAGACACATATATGGGGAATACATCTATTAAATGCCTTAAGACATGCCTCTTTCTGGGGCAAGTGAAAGACAGTAATAAATAAATATTTGTATACAGGAGAAAATGATCAAAATGAAGTCAGGACTGCCCACAATAAAAACCCCAAAGAGACAATAGAATTTATGAATGTAAACATCTTCAGTGGCAAGCTTCACAAGGGCCATGTGTTGTGAAGTTTAAGTGTGAGGTATTAACTTTGATTGACGAAGTTTTAGATGCCACTTTATGAGAAATAGGCATGATATTACCAGAATGGAAAGCCACGATGCCACCCCAACTTGAATATGAGTGACTATTTGTTGTGTGAATGTGGTAGCATACTTCAGAGGATAACAGACCGCTATGTAGTGGTCCAGAGATATAGCCAGCAGGACTCCTGCTGCAATACCTTGAAATGTGTGGATGAGCCACATCTGGAAAAGAAAGCATCAAAATAGATCTCTGCCAGGTGTAACCCAAAATTTCCAAGCATCTTGGGGACAATGCTGGTGCCAAGTGCAATTTCTCTGGCTCCCAGCATGGCCAAGAAGATAGATAAAGGCTCAAGGAGACTGAGTTCCAATTTGATAATGAGCCAAAGTAGAGAATTTCCCACCAAAGCAATGAAGTACATAACACAGAATGGAGTCCCAACCCAACTCTGCATAGTTTCCAGGCCAGGGATCCCAATAAGGGTGACCACAGAAGGCATGAACTTGGTGCCATCTGTAACGGGCATGGCAGATCAGTGTCATTCCTGACAAGGAAGCAAAGTTTGGTAAACTGTGATTCTCTGTACTCATCTCAGTCAGTCACACAAATATTGAACAGCAGGATTATGAGAATCAACTTCATCAGCTTATACAACATTCTCTTTAAAATGCATGAGATGATGGATGTTGGCCCCACAGAAAGCTTCATCAGAACACATACACATTAGCAAAACCATTCACCCACACTCATGATATCCACAGTTGGAGAATGGAGTATTTGATGGCCCAGGCAGATGATAGGACCAACGTGACCAGGCTGCTTACTGGTGTTCTTCCTGCTCTCTACCCAACCCCAGCCCATTTTCTCTTTCTTCTTCTAACCTGTTTGTGGAAATCAGAAGGATAAAATGGAACAGTACTTTAGAACGAGAAACACCAAAATCCATAATGCATCGAGGCCCATTTTCCTCTCCTTTCCACTTCCTGTCTTCTTTTCATCCTCCACTCACTTTAGACTAGCAGGGCTGGGTATTTCTACAGAACACACTAACACTTCTTTGATAAACTACTGATTGAAGACTCTTTCTAGGATTGTGACCCCTCCAATAAAACTACTTCCCATCTTGAATTTCCTTCCCACCAAGAGATTTTGAAATATGATGTGATGCAGGACCCAGACTCCATCGCAATAGACACTGGCAGCTGCATAATTTTGTGTACTACCATGGTGATTCTGTTACCGAACAAGAGGTCCGAGGGAGGGGTAATACAATATTTGGCCCACCTACAGATGCCCAAAACTGCTATACAACAGGGGCCCCTCCCCCCAAAAAACAAAATACTAAAATCTACTGGGCTCTTCTGTCCGCCGCCAATTGGAAAGACATCTCTCAATGCCAGAGATTTGTGAAAAGGAAACAAAATGTTTATTTAATGCTATTCAGGCCTAACACCTCCACTAAAATAGCAAAGTCCTTTAGGGTATACACCTACACCCGCACAGCTCTCCCTTCTCCCACTGTCCCAACTCCGGGTACCGTAAATCAGGAAAAGAGCACACGTCTGTGTTACAGGCCGCTGGCACCATCAGCTGTGTCACTGTGCAGGCAGGATCTCCAGTTAATCCAAAGTACTGTGGTACCCTCTCATGGTCCACTGGCAAGAGTTCTTTGTACCCAGTTCCAGTCAAAGTCTCTCTTGCTTTCCAGGCCACACGGCCAAAGGGGGCACCCCAAAGCCACGTGGGCCTCTTCTACCAAAGCTGCAGGGGTCCGCACTCCACCAAAAGCATGTGGCTGTCTTCTTCACCTTGCTGCAGAGATCTCAATTCTGGCGAAGCTGCGTGGTTTTCCCTTTCACCTGGGCAGTTATCCCCTCATGTCCTGGAGCCCATCTTTTCCAAGCTCCCACACAGGTACCTCTCACTCAGGAGTTCAGCCCCTAGTTAACATCCTGGGTCCCAGCCACTCCCTTCTCCCCTGGCTCCAAACTCAGCCACAGCTATTTAACATATATATGAAACCAGTTAAAGGTTATAGATATGTTAAATAACCATTCCAGAGGTTAGCTGCAAAACTATTGCTATGCAAAACAGCTTTCAATGACCCTGGTTCTATTCATCCCTTCCCCCTGGGGGTAGGGGAGTAAGGACATCCTATATGTCTCTCCAATATTCCTATACACTTTGAATTCTGGACACCATTCCAAATCTTTTATTTGGGCCCCCCCCCTTGGCTGCACCCTGTATCAATTCTGATTCAGGAAACAAGTCTTATATATAAATTTCTCACTTAGATAAGCAACCGTGGCTCCTCGCCCAGTATCTTTTCCACACAATAAAGTGAGGACAGTTTGAAAATATCAGTTAATAAAATCAAAAGGCATAAAGAGTACCTGGGGTAGGTAAAGAGAGACCTTGGTTGTTTCACCAGGAGAGCAATGAGGAAGATGTTGAAGTGTTTTTGGAAGGTTAGGTAAATGAAGTTGGAAGCAGAAAGTTCTAATTTCTTATCTTCTGCAAAATCTGAACAAATTAAAAATATAAGGGAGTGGATTCTTTGAGAATTGTCCAAGATGTTGAATGGAGAATAATTAATTGACAGACACAAGTATAAGTGACTTGGAAAGCAGCAGAGACAGAAAGAAAAGACTCCAGAAAACTCATTGCAATACAAAGTTTGTTGTTGTGAACATGTCACACTGATACAGGGTTCAGCCAGAGGGCCCCCCAAAAAAAGATTTGGAAAGGTGTCCAGAGTTCAAGGTGTATGGAAATATTGGAGAGACATATTGGGATGTCCTCACCCCCCCCCTCCCAGGGGAAAGGGATGAATGGAGCCAGGCCATTGAGAGCTGTTTTGCATAGCAACAGTTTTGGAGTTAACCTCTGGAGGAATGGTTATTTAACATATCTATAACCTTTAACTGGTTTCATAGATATGTTAATTAGCAGTGGCCAAGTTTGGAGCCAGGGAGAAGGAACTAGCAGGGACTGAGGATGGAACTGGGAGGACTCAAAATGGTAACGAGGGGCTGTGCTCCTGAGTGAGAAGGCCTGTGTGAGAGCTTGAAAAAGACTAGCTCCAGGACATGAAGGGTCCCCGCTTGGCCAGATGGGAGAGAGCCACGCGGTTTCAGCAGAGTGAGGACCCCCTCTTGGTGAGGTGAAAGAGGGAGCCACGTGGTTTTGGCAGGGTGCAGACCCCCTCTTTCCCAGTTGAAAGGGAAGAACCACGCAGCTTTTCCAGAATGGAGACCCCTGCAGCCAGGTGAAGAAGACAGCCACATGCTGGAGTGCGGACTCCTGCAGCTTTGGTAGAAGAGGCCCACGCGGCTTTGGGGTGCCCAGTTTGGCCGCGTGGCCTGGAAAAGCAGGAGAGACTTTGACTGGAACTGGGTACAAAGGACTCTTGCCAGTGGACCATGAGAGGGTACCACAGTACTTTGGATTAACTCGAGATCCTGCACGGTGACACAGCTGACGGTGCCAGCGGCCTGCAACACAGACGTGTGCTCTTTTCCTGATTTACGGTACCCGGAGTTGGGACAGTGGGAGAAGGGAGTGCTGTGTGGGTGTAGGTGTATACCCTAAAGGACTTTGATATTTTAGTGGTGGCATTAGGCCTGAGTAGCATTAAATAAACATTTTGTTTCCTTTTCACAAATCTCTGGCATTAAGAGATGTCTTTCCAATTGGCGGCGGACAGAAGGGCCCAGTAGATTTTAGTATTTTGTTTTTGGGAGGGGCCCCTGTTGTATAGCAGTTTTGGGCATCCCTAAGTGGGCCAAATATTGTATTGCCCCTCCCTCAGACCTCCTCTGGTTCGGTAACAACACTTTCCAGCAATGAATACAAACAGCAAACTATAGTTCAGTTTTAGCACTGACAAGAGTATGCACCTAAAAATGTATTTTTTAAAGTGAGAACAGAGATGCTGCCTAAGTGATTAGTTGTGTAAATCTAAATCAAAAACTTCTAACCATTTTTTGTGTTGTTACTCTAGGTACTTTGAAACATTTCTCTATAAATGAAGTCATCATCTCCAAATACTATTCTGAGTTATTCACTGGCCCCCAACATTATTCATAAATTTTAAATTTGGAATGTTTTAGAGATTATTGTACTAAATCGCTCTCTCAAAACAGAATTCTTTAGCATAGTTTCTTAGCCTCTGAGTTGATGTATATTAATGCCTTTTCTTACCTTGTGTCTAATTATTGTATAACTCTCTTAGAAAGACCTTATACTGAGCTAACACCATCTTCTGTAACCACCACCTCCCTTTTTGAGTTATACAGCTTCAGACACAAAGTATAAAGACTCACATCAGTCATGATACTCTGTTTTTCAAATAGAACATGTTCAGGTCAACTGAACTTGTCCAATAACATTACAAATTGACTTTAACCTCTTCATCTTCTAAAGCATATTCTTCAATTTATTGGACTGTTCTCTAATTATATTTGCTACAAGTTCAAATTCAGACTCTATCAGAAATAAATTTATACTCTTTACTTTTATGACTTGGAATTTGGTTTCTGGGGCTTTACTTGTGTTTTTGTTACTGAACAAGAGGTCCGAGGGAGGGGTAATACAATATTTGGCCCACCTAGGGATGCCCAAAACTGCTATACAACAGAGGCCCCTCCCAAAAACAAAATACTAAAATCTACTGGGCTCTTCTGTCCGCCGCCAATTGGAAAGACATCTCTCAATGCCAGAGATTTGTGAAAAGGAAACAAAATGTTTATTTAATGTTATTCAGGCCTAACACCTCCACTAAAATAGCAAAGTCCTTTAGGGTATACACCTACACCCGCACAGCTCTCCCTTCTCCCACTGTCCCAACTCCGGGTACCGTAAATCAGGAAAAGAGCACACGTCTGTGTTGCAGGCCGCTGGCACCATCAGCTGTGTCACCGTGCAGGCAGGATCTCCAGTTAATCCAAAGTACTGTGGTACCCTCTCATGGTCCACTGGCAAGAGTTCTTTGTACCCAGTTCCAGTCAAAGTCTCTCTTGCTTTCCAGGCCATGTGGCCAAAGAGGACACCCCAAAGCCGCGTGGGCCACTTCTACCAAAGCTGCAGGAGTCCGCACTCCACCAAAAGCATGTGGCTTTCTTCTTCACCTGGCTGCAGGGATCTCAATTCTGGCAAAGCTGCGTGGTTTTTCCCTTTCACCTGGGCAGTTATCCCCTCATGTCCTGGAGCCAGTCTTTTCCAAGCTCCCACACACCAGCCCTTCCACTCAGGGGCACAGCCCCTAGTTACATCTTGGGTCCAATCCACTCCTTTCTCCCTGGCTCCAAACGTGGCCACAGCTATTTAACATATCTATGAAACCAGTTAAAGGTTATAGATATGTTAAATAACCATTCCAGAGGTTAGCTGCAAAACTGTTGCTATGCAAAACAGCTCTCAATGGCCTGGCTCCATTTGTCTCTTCCCCCTGGGGGGAGGTGTGAGGACATCTTATATGTCTCTCCAATATTCCTATACACTTGGAATTCTGGACACTATTCCAAATCTTTATTTGGGGGCCCCCCGTGGCTGCACCCTGTATCATTTTCACTTCAAGATATATTTTTATCTCCACTTGAGCTAGTACACATTTCTGACTATTTACTCATTATCTAGGAACAGCAGTGGGAAGTGACTGGCATAGCAGAAGGTTGTTCTTCGCTGGTCCCAGGTATGGAAGATTTGTTTTCTAATGTAATTTTCCCTGATTACCAAACTTCATTACTCTTAAAAATCTTAACAGATATTTTTTACTCCCCAGGACAAAAAGGAGGTTTAGGGCAGGAAGAACTCAAGTCATTTTTTAGGGCAATCCCACTTAATTCCCAGGGGGCCTGACATATCATGTGTGACCAGAAGATGGCAGTATTGAAACATCTAGCACAATTGTGTCTCACAGAACCATCTTCTGTTTCAGATATCAAAAAATAGTTGCTCAATTATTACACATTGTTATAGGTCTTTTTAATTAATAGGAGGCTTAAATAACCTCACTACTAACCCATAATAATTTTAGAACTTATATTCCTCTAATAAAAATATTTTTCATTTTCTAGTATATATTTTAATGTCTTTTTTATTTGTCTTCCCTCTTACACCAGGAGGTAAATGAAACCATGTACTCTGAAGCATATAAAATGTGTTTCTTTTTTCATTTCTTGATACACCTAGGTAGATTTTTTAAATGTAGGTGTTTTTCTCATTTCATTTATGTATTTTGGTACATTTTGTATTTTATACTGTGAAATATGGTTCTTCCTTTCATACAATATTAATTTGTTTTTATCATACTTTGTTTTGTTCTCATTCAGGAATATCACATACTTATCATTTCCATTCTGTGTTACTTACATATAATAACCTCTCAGAAAGAATTTATATATTTGACATTTTTTCTCTTGCTGGAATGATGTCCTCATCAATTATTCAGTATGCCCTATCGATGCTACAACATCTGAAATATCTCATGCTCTAATACATAATTAACTTAGATTAAGTGCTTATTGTTTCATTATACACCTTTTCTGTCATACCCACTAACATTATTTTGTTCTTTCCCATAAGTTTTACTTCACATACTACAGGTTTACCTAATTTATATGAAAAGCCAAGGGCATATGATTCAAATTTATTTCTGCTTCATTCAACAAAACCTATTGTCCAAAATTATTCTCTACCTCTGTATATTGAATGGTAGTGTCCCTTCCTTCTTCTCCATTGGGATGTTTTCTTGGATTAGTTCTTCCTCATCAGGGAATCTGTCTAAAATTAGAAAGCCAAGTATCTCTCTCTGTCTCCTTTGTTATTTAAAAAAAATCATCTTATTGGTTCTCAGTTTTAAAGGTTTAACCAAAAAAATTTAAAACTGATCTCTGTTGATGCAGCATGTAGAAAGAAAATGAAGGTGTATGGGTAGAGGGCTAGCAAAGAGTGAAGAAAAGTCTAAAGTCCCTGTTTTAGCAGTTGGTTCCTCATATTCCAGTTTTGTATTTGGCTTATACTTTATTTCAAAATTACATACTGAGTCATTCAAGTCACCATCTTTGTTTACCTAACACTGGAATAAACTTTGTAGTATACATAATTTTTGTATGGCAATATTAAATACAACCTCAAAACTTCCAGATTCATTGCTTTTTGAATACCGTTAACCGATACCATGAAGATGTTGACCTTGTTTGTTATTTAATGTAATTTTATAGAGCTTCTAAGAAGTCTCAGGAATTGTTTTACATGTTATCAATAAGAATGGAAATAAAATAAAGTTTCATACTTAGGATAATTGCAGTAGGCAATTACTGAATGCAATGAAATTAATTTTTATATTTATTTCATTCTAAACTTCAACCTCCAAATTTGGATAAGATTCACTGGGTAATGTCATTCGAATATGTACCACTTTAAGAATACTTTCTATTTAAGTACTAATCACATTTTCGTTTTCCAAAAAATAAAGTATTTTAAATACCGTAATTTTTGTAAGTATTTTACTACATTATTTCCTATATAAATTCATCACTATTTATTATCTATGGGATTCAACATACATGTTTTTTGTTGCTGATATCAGTATTGCATTATTTTCATATTCATCAGTTTTTAAGAGAAAATAGGTAAAAAATAAGCAATTCAAAATATGTCACATTATAGATTCACAAGCAGATGTTAGAAAATGAGATATGTCCACAATTATAGCTATGGGTTGGGTTAGCAGTTTGAAAATATTGATGTGTGACATGGTCCTTGAAAAATTACTTAGTATTATCTTGCTTTCTGCAATTTTGTTTTTACGGAGAGCTAAAGGCTGCCAGAGAAGAACTTCTAACTTCAAACAGACCAAACACAGAAGAATAATTAATTATAAATAGAAAACAATTTTAAAACTCAGCATAAGAGTTTTTTTTATCATATATGAGTGATCAGACAAGGTTAAGTATTTTATGATTTCTTAAGTACTTCCATCAATGATGAATATCTAAAATTTAAAGATTGTTTTAGGAGGTAGATATGTGTCAAAGATACAACTTTTCACCATATCCATGTCGCTACTTTGAACCAACCTAAAATCCCTGTACAAAGAGGAACTACTCATCAAAACGTTTTTTGAAGAGAATTAGTTTCAGGACATGATCCCGGATTTGTCTGGTCTTCACTCCATAGACAATAGGATTAAGAAAAGGTGGGACTAAAAGGTAAAGATTTGATAGAAGAATATGAACATATGGTGGTATGTGAGAGCCAAACCTATGTGTGAAGAAAGAGAAGAAGGCAAGGACATAGAACTGGAGGAAGACACATATGTGGGTAACACATGTATTGAAAGCTTTGAATCGTGCTTCTTTCTGGGGTAGTTGAAAGACAGTGATAAAGATTAGAACATAGGACAAAGTGATAAAAATTATGTCAAACCCTAAGATGGAGAAGGCAACAAATAGACCATATATTTTGTTGATTCGGACATCTTCTGAAGCCAGTTTCACAATGGCCAAGTGCTCACAGTAAGAGTGGGAGATGATGGTAGTGCGGAAGAGTTTAAGACGACATTTGATGAGCATTATGCATGGTGCTATAAGAATGGCAGCCCTGAGCGTCACCCCAACTCCGATGCGAGTCAAGAGTTGTTGGGAGAAGACGATGGCATGTCTCAGAGGGTGGCAGATGGCAACATAGCGATCGAGGGCCATTGCCAATAAGACACCTGATTCAATTCCTTGGAATGAGTGAATAAGCCACATTTGTAGAAGGCAGGCTTCAAAGTATATCTTTGAGAAATGAAACCAGAAAATGCCTAACATCTTGGGAAGGATACAGGTGCTAAGTGCAAGGTCTGTGGCTCCCAACATAGCCAAAAAAATGTACATGGGTTTGTGGAGGCTGGTTTCATATTTGATTATAAGTAAAATTAGGGCATTCCCAATCACAGCAATGAGGTACATGATACAGAATGGAATCCCAATCCAACACTGCACTGATTCCAAGCCAGGAATCCCAATGAGTGTCAGTACAGACGGCATGAAGACTGAGCCATTGAACTTGAGCATGGTGATCCGATCAGTAGAATCAAGTAGCAGTACAGTTGTTTTAATCTTCTGTTCCCTGTGAAGACTTCATGAATGGAAAATAAGAATAAATTAATTTATTCTTAATTTGGTAAAATATACTTCAGTTATTTAAAAAATATACCATCTTATCTTTTCTATCCAAACTACTCCTCTCTAACTTTTTTCTTAATCTTTAACAGTCCACTATCAGGTTCTATATTTTTTGTGTCTTAAATATTTCCAATAAGCAAAATTAAATGGATTGGATGGCTTCACTCTGGTCCATGACTGCTGGACCAAACCAATTTCCTTTAATTTTTGTTTGCTAAACATATGTGCTTTTTTTGTGACCTGCCAATAGGAAGTGTGAAAAAACAGTTAATACAGAGTAAAAATATTTCAAAAACTAGATTCCACCTAGGCTAGACATACAAGTTAGTGAGGGTTTACAGTGGCAGTAGATCATTCTGCTTGATTAAACTCATAAGCCTTATTTACCAGAATATTTTTCAGTTTTGCTGTTCACTAACGTTTTCTCAGTTTACTGCCTTCAGAGTGCGTTCCCTCTCCCATAAATTCTACCAAAATACTTTCAACCTAATTTTTCAAACTTGTTGTTTTTCCCAAAACCCAACCATATATCTTGCACCTTTTTTCTACTTATTCTCTGAGAAGATAAATTATTTTTTTATTTTTTTATTTAATTATTTTTCAAGTCCAGTTTTCTGTCTATTTCTCCCATCCCAGCCCACCCCGCCCCATGCTCCCCACCTCTCTCCCATTTCCACCCCCCTTAGTTATTGTCCCTGTGTCCTTTATACTTGTTGCTCTAAATCCCTCCCCTTTTTCCCCTTAAATTCCCTCCCCTCTCCCCTCTGGTTGCTGTCCCCCTTTCACTGTTCTCCATTTCAGTGTATTTGTTTTTATTTTTCTTGCTTGTTTGTTTTGTTGTTTAGCTTCCTGTTAAATGTGAGATCATATGGTATTTGTCTTTCAACACCTGGCTTATTTAACTCAGCATATTGCTTTCCAGTAAATACACATTAATTATTCACCAGCTGCCAAGAAGCAATTGGGGAACAAAGATAAGGTTATTTATTTTATAGTTATAAAGTATTTACATTGTGCTGAATAATTTTATTTTTCTTACCTTATGATATTGACATCATTACCCTATTATATTAATAAAAAACTAAGACTTGTTGTTATAGATAAGCCTACTTGGATATAATTGTATGGTACACTAGTCCAGAAAAAACAAATAAGAAAAGAACTGTGTCCTTTGAGATTTTAGAATTGTAATTCAGTGAAGGTTATGAAATATATATCAGTGTACAAGTAAATAAGGCTGGGTTGTAAAAATATATACTACTAAAGATTTTAATCAGTCTGTGCTTTTTTAGATTATGAAGAAAACTACCTCTGCATCACCTAATTCATCAAATAAGTATAATAGATACATTATACTGTGTTTATTAGATGCTACATGCCTGATAAATGACCACATTTGCAGAATCATATCATCTATACACCAACAAACAATCTCTGTGATTTGGTTCAAAAATGTATGCTACTGCTTTTATGAGGAATATTCATTTTAGAAATTAAACATGACCAAGTGAATAATATTAGACCTAGAAAAATTTTTGGAGAATAACAAGAAAGTTCAAGCTTTACAGAAATATATATATAGTGAGTAATCAGAGAATATTGGACAAAATGAGAGAGAGGAAAATTTTAGCAAGATAAAATACAAAGGCATGTCTTCATTCTAAAAGACCAAACATCCTATGAACAAAGTAGTTACTTCCCTCTCTTGATATATTAACATTTCCATCTTCACCAGGCCTCACTGATATTCTTCTAGGGCAGTTTCTTAATCTCGGCACAATAGATCAGATAACTATTTTGATATGGGGGTTATTCTTTATATTCTAGGAGGCTTAGCAAAATTCCTGTTTCCTGCACATTAAGTACCATGTGCCATTTTGCCTTTTGAAAATCCAGTCTGCAAGCATCTTGATGAGTGGGTTGAAGGGCATGAAACTAAGTATGAGGAGATCAAGTTGGAAAGATATTGGTGATAATACATATGAGATGTTTTGAAGTGATGTGGCAAAATCAGAAGGATATCAAGGAAGCAGTATCTATGACACTCACTGATTTGATGTAGGCAAACTGAGAAAGATGAGGCTAAAAAAGACTATGTTCTCAGCATGGGAGTAACATCACTGGATGCTGAAGAATATGGTGAAAGCAATTCTCTGTGTACAGATATCTATATATCTCTGTATATCATCTATCTATTTACCTGCATCTCTGTATCTATCTGTCTATGTATCTATCTATGATCTATCTATCCATCATCTGTTGAGGGAGGAAACCTATCTTAAACCCTTGAAATTCATAGACCTGGAAAACAATCATGGGTCTCACTCATGTACCTAGTAAATCCGGAACCATTAGTACAACTTACAACTTTAATTCTGATTCAGGATGTGTCCCAGAATCTAAAAGATTTAAGAAATTTAGGGCATAAGCCCACTCTCCCTATAATCTTAGATCTCATCTCTGTATAAAATCTCTGACACTTGCCCTTCAATCTGTTCTGGAAGCCTCCAGTGACAGAGAATTCTGTTTTCTGAGAGTTTGCCACATTGCAGAACAGCCCCATGTCTGATAGGTCTTCTTTCTATTGAGCCTCTAGTAACCTCCCACTTAATTTCTCAGTAGGTCTTCACTCCATGTTCCATGTTCCAGTGATAGACATCAGTCATAGGTCATGGTCATTAATGCACAGATCTAAGTCAGTCATGAGATTTTAAACTCTGGATGCCCCTCTTTAGCTCTGCATGCTCTTCAGTTAGTTTATGTGTCTTAATTATCTTTAATGCTAAAATACAGTTAATGGATAAAAATATAACACTATATGACTGAGAGGGTTAAATACATAGTTTATCTAAAATATTTAGAAAGATACTTAGAATGTGTTGAAATAGCAATTAATTCAGATAATAATCCACAGACATTTATCTTCTCTTTTTCATAAATGACCTCAGATATTTGATGAGCATTTCACCTGAATGTCTTGAAGGGTGTTATTTCCCCTGAGTGATTTCCAGCCTAAACATGTATAATTGTCTGACCTTTTAACAAATAAACTTTTTTATTCATTTACTGGCCAAAATATTATTATCTAGAAGTTATCATATTTGTCAATGCACTTTAACATGTTTACCTAATGTGTCATTAACTGACTTAGAAATATTCTGAAGAGGATGAAACAAATCTTTCTGGTGCTTAACCACTTAACCACCATAAGAGTTTAAAGACTTTTTTTAAAAAACCTCCCAGCATCATATTGGATCGGATAGGATATGTTCTTTTTGAAACCAATCCTCCATTTCCCCAAATCTAGTGTAGAATTGCAACCCCGAAGACTTACCAGGGACTATCTGTTGTAATACATGTAGAAGTCATAGAGTGGAAATCATTTTGATGTTTCAGATAGTGAGGGATGACTGTTTTGTATTGTAAGATGCACCCAGGGGCTTAGTTCTCACCACTCCCTAGTGAGCTTTTAGGTTCATCTTGGACAGAGGCGAAAAAAGGCACAACATAGTTCAGAACATAGATTTGTTGCCTAATAATGGTTCTGTATATTAAAAAATTCTGAAACTGTCTTTTCTCTTTGGGACTGGGAACCAATATAAACCTACTTTTAAATATTCCTTAGAGATGAAAGTGCCCAAAGGCAACACAAAACAGGTCCATGACACATTTTCAAAAATAATGAGCCAATACAAGAATATAAAAACATCTTGAGCCATGATGGTAAGGCAACAAAAGGAATCTTTCTGTGTTCTCATTCCAGTTGAAGAAGCACTTTCTTATTTAGGTTCCTAAAAGGAGCTGACTTTGGAAAGTCATCTCAGAGCATCAATCCATTCACTTTCTAAGCTTCTCTTACATGACATTTGGAGACAATTTTTTTCTTTATTCAAATTTCCCTGGTCATATTTATATTTTTGGTGAGATAATGATCAGAAAATTTTCTAACACTCACAATATCTACATCAGCTGCCCAGATGGGAACTATTATTTATTTAGTTGGACAAAAGGGGGTGTTGTGCCTTACAAACAAGATTTTAAGCTTTTGTATCAAGAAGAGTAAACAAGTCTCTCATTAATTAAGTTTTACAGGAAGGATTACTTACATTCTCTTGAGGTATGATGGCCTTATCTGTAGTTACACCGTTTTTGTCCTGTATCACTGGGTCTAGCCCTGCTTAGTAGACCTGTTCTTTTGGCATTGACAAAAAATTACCTTTGACTCCATTTTGTCACTCAACTGTGATAAAATTATATTCATTCTAGAAAAACTATTGATATAAACTTAAGGATAGTTACATCCTGAAGCCAGCTCAAAGCAGGCAAGGAGAGATGGCTGTCTTCATCTCTTCCCAGTTCTGCATTCAGTGATTTCATGTTGGTTGATTAAAATCAGCCATAGCTGGAGTACTTACACAAAGAAAATGAATAAACAATGTTCATCAAATTGACACCACCCACCAAATGGACTCCAGATAAAATAAACTCTTTTCAGTGAAAATAAGATGAATTTTTAGAGTGAATGTAAAGTAGACTGTGATGAGTTCCTCAGTTTTTGAAATTTGTAGCTATGTAGATAGAGTATAACTAACAATTAGACATGCTTAATAATTCTCAAGATACTTTTGAAATATGTGAAACATGTTTGAACCTCAATGCATCAAAATGTTATTGAATTTTACAGACAAAAAATTCTTAGATACTATTTAGTTAAACCTGTCAGAACAATGGGAGAATAAGGTATTTTAGAAAAGATGTGACTCCTTATCTTGGTGGTTCCTTAGTACTTCTAGTATTAAACAGAAATAATGTATTCATCTGTAAAATGCAATAGGAAATAAAGAGAGCAAATTTTTAGAAGAGGCTCTTATTTCTGCACATTATTTAGAGAAAACGAGAAACAAATCATTTCATTTTAAAAAGTAACCAAGTTAGAAATGGATGTTTAATAGCTTTTAC